CTTTATTGTAAATACTACTATGAGATGAATGAAATTGTACTTACTACATGACAAGTCACTTAAATTGTGAAGATTAATATGTGATTTCATTGAATGGTTATATACCTAAATGAAATTAAGTTGCAGATTTGTTATATATAAATATCATCTATTTGAAATTCAATATGTAGTTGATGTATTCCACATATAATATAATTAATATGATTCTATAGTTTCTCAAAATAAAATTGCCAATAAGAATTCTGTTTGACCAAATAATAAAAATAAAATAAAAATAAAATGACAAGTTTACGGATTAGAATAAGATCGTGCACACAAGGTCTGCCTCAATCTGCTCGTCAGGGTCTTGAAAGGCTGTCATAACCATGGATATATGTTTCGAGATTCAGCACTTAATTAAATAAGAAAAAGGACACGTGACAATCACTTAAGAGGTACGTGTTGTTAAGTAGTTACGAGCCAAGCCAAAGTACAAGGTCACGTGACGGTAGAATTACCCAAAAAAATAACATCACTGCACTAAAATAAACCGCAATAATAAATACACGAGCACGAGCAGTGAAGGTTTATTTTTCACCATACGAAAAAACCCGCATGTTACGTGCTTGATCGTTTATGCCGAGATTCTCCAACTTTCGGGTCTTACAATCGTAAAGCAGCAGGTCACCGTTGTAGTCCTGAATGAGCACTTTATCATCCTTGTAAAGACCCAATACTGTTAGGAGAGCAGCAGCACCAGCACCAGCAGGAACAGGAACGTCAAACTTGTCCACAAGGGACCAGTCGTCAACATTCCATACCCAAATCTCGAAACAAGGCAGCTTCAGCTCAAAATCAAAAACAACAGCTGCAAGTGACCCGTGAAACTCAACAGGAACAATTTTCAAAACAGCCGCAAATGACCCGTGAAACTCAGCAGGAAAAACTTCCACTTTGTTCCTAAGCTTTTTGCTTTTGGGGACAGGGATGAGAGCAGGCAGAAACTTCTCATTAGCAAAGTCAAACTGAATAATAGAATAACTGCCAGTGGGTTTATGATAACATAGCCAGTAATAGAAGCCATTTATGTGAAGAGCACGGTCTTCATAGGTGTCGAGCAGAAGATTATGAGCATATGTAATCTCCTTCCATAATCCGGTTCCAAGGGACCACACCTCGGATCGGATTTCATAGAATTCTTCATACCTATCTTCATACCTGAATAAGTAAGATCTCACCACTTTACAGTCCCAAGATGCACGAGGATCAAACCCCACGCCCAAACTCCAACAGAAAGAGAAATTTGGTAAAGATGGAGGAGGCCAAATTGCAGAAGGAGGAAGCCGTTTCATCTCGCCAGTTGTCGGGTCCCAAAGAAGCTCATACGGAGGTCCAGGCAATTTTTGACATGTCAACAACATCCATTTGCTGTTGGAACAAGCTCGAACGATGTAATCGGCGTTCAGGTAATGTGGATGGTAATTTTCAGCTCTGAGTAGAGATAAGTTGGGAAGACTGTCTGTTACCGCTCGGAACGAGTTGTTGTCCGTCGTGATTGCGCAGTAATCACAGGTTCCGTTGAGGACACGCCGCACCATAAGCATGAGATTTTCTTTGTTGTGATGCTTCAAATTGGGGGAGAGCGCCGTCTCCGGCGCCGCAGTACTGCCACCTAAAACGCAAACACGATGGAAAATATTAGATCCGAAATTTTGGGGGAGAAATTTCAATCTGGATTTGGCGTTAGCGAGTAGAATGGAGGTGGTTGAGTGGATTCCCATGGTTCTGTACGTGGGAGAAGAACGACTAGCCGCAGATAAATGTTTGAAAACCCTGGCTACAAATCAACCGTCTATTGAGTAACATTTTAATAACAACTTTCGTATTTTAACACAAATTCTAAACAGACCCAAAAACTGAAAGTTCAAAGGCCCAAATCAACCGTCTATTGAGTAACATTTTAATAAAAGGCCAAAGGCCCAACTTCCAATAAAATTAGAAGAAATTACCCCCCCAAACACTTATTTTATTTATAGACAAAAACGTTGCCCCAAAACTTTTGGTACATTTTAACTCATCTAAATTACTTTTATGCAATTATTTTTTTAATAATGTCTTACCAAGTCAAAGATTATTAATTATGGTATAATTTTATATATTTAAGAGCAACTTTCTCAAAAATCCCCAACTCCATTTTCAACTTCCTCCTCAGTCCCTAGGTCCTTTTTTTTACATTTGAACTCTCTATCTTCTTAGGCTATGTTTGGCAAGCCAATAAGCTATCTTATAGTTTATTTGATTAGCTTATAAGTTCCCTTTATTTAAATAAGTCTCGTTTGGTAGGACGCGTTTTTTTAAAAAGCTCGAACTTATCTCATAAGCTACTTTAGGTAGCTTTTCAAATAAGCTAGTTGAACTTTTTATTTCAGCTAGCTTATCAGCTAATTTTACCAAACACTTTTATCATATAAGCTAGCTTTTCAACTATAAGTCATAAGCTATAAGCTATAAGCTCGAAAATTACATATAAGCTACAAACTAGCTTATCAGCTATCAGTTAATTTTACCAAACATAGCCTTAATTTTCTTCCTCCTAACTCCCTAGTATTAAAATTAAATCAAAAATAAAATCATTTATTACATCATCCCACTACAACCAACTAACATATTATTTATTTGTTTTCTCTTACACCAACTATTACACATAATAGTAGTTTATTCATTTTTGTTCAATCTTCTTCCACACACCATTCCCTCCCGTCTCTCTCCTGTCTCCCTCCATTTCCGGCGACTACTTCACATTTTTTTTTCAGGTCGGTCTCTCCGGCGACCCAAATCCGGTGAGAAGAACTCCGACAACAACAAATCCGGCCAAACAAGTGATTCCGACATCAAATTTGTGCGGCAAAAAATTTATTTTTTCCGGCAACATTCGTGCTTTTTCCCGCCAAAATTTGAAGTAGTAAGTAATATATGTATTATATGAGCATTTTGGAGTCCAAAAATCATGTTTAATTCGTATATATTTGGTTAATTTGTTAAGGATTGAATTTTGAGAATTGTTGTTCATATTAACCCTAATCAATTAAATTGATCAAAATCTCTTATTTCTTGTTTATGTATACGAAATTGATGTTATTGTTAGGTTATGTAATGTGTTATTCACCCTAAAACAAGAAAATAAGGTGGGAATGATCATTGTACCACTATTCTTGATTATTGTACCTCTATTTGCATGTATATAGTACCACTTTAATATTGTCCTGTACCATATTTTCCTGGGAAATGTGAAGTTTTTTTTATTTATCCAATTATTGTTAGATACATGGAAGGGGCACAAAGTGATATACTAGGGAGTTGTACGTACAAGAATGAATTGTTTGTGTTCTCTATGCACATTGGATCAACGTTTGACGAAGTGTACACTCTCATATCAAAGAGGTGGCCGAACGTTAATTTCGAATCCGTCGTGCTATGTTATATTGCGCCAAAGGAAAAAAAAGAGAGTTAGTTTGTTGGATGATGAGGATGTGAAGAACATGATTCGATTACATGTTTGTTTGAAATTAAATATTGTAGAGATAATTGCCATGGAAAGAAATGAAAGACCGGATGATGGAGTTCAATCCTTCCCGATGAACATGATCAGGTAATGTTGCTTTCATAATATTAATGAATTTATTATTTAAATATGATATGGTCGTACCATATTGTAGTTCATTATTTTTTAACTAGTTCCATTATTTATAAAGGTTTGTACTATTTTGTCATGAACGCAGGGAAAACGTACAGTCTGTTGATTTCTCGGAGGGAAAACATGAGTAGTTGCAAGATAAATCGATCGATTCTTGGAGATTTTGCCTCAAAGGAGAGGGGCAAATATTCACTGGGGCCGACGAATTTCGAAAAGAGTGTAAAAAACTACGCAATTGCAAACAAGTGGTTCTTTAAGTATCGGAAAAATGACAAGCAGAAGGTCATCCTTTGTTGTAGCAATGCGGATGTGAATGGAGAGTGTATGCATCGTTATACAAAGGCGATCAGCAGTTTGCCATCCGGAAATGCAACCTCGTCCATACTTGTGGCGTGTCCAATCTTCGGACAAGGGGCATTCCGAAAGCAGACTCCATTTGGGTGTCAAGTACAATCAAAGACAGATTGAGAGGTGAACCGAACTACAAACCTTGCACGATATTGAAAGATATTCACCGGGATTATGGCTTGGAGTTGCCTTACAAAAAGGCATGGTTAGGGAAGAAACTTGCCATGCAAAATATTTATGGAGCAGACAGGGGATCTTACGACAAATTGAGATGGTATTGTAGCGCAGTGCGTGAGACAAACCCTGGAAGCATTGCCGATTGTGAGATTGACCATGTCGAGAATAAGTTCCGCCGATTGTTCATCTGCTTTAATGCCTGCCTTGTCGGTTTTTTAACCGGTTGTCGACCGTTGATATTTTTGGATGGCACCCACATAAAACATAAATACAAAGGCGTTTTGCTTAGTGTTGTGAGTAAGGATGCAACTTGTTCACTATAGCATTTGCCGTGGATGATGCCGAGACCGATGAAAATTGGGAGTGGTTTTGCTTGAAGTTGAATAGTAGTTTTCTTTCCTCGCGCTTACCTGTTTCTAGAAACTTCACTTTTTATTCGAACCCACACAATGGGCTAGTTAAAGCCATCCATATGGTTTTTCCTAGAAGCCATTATGCTTATTGTTTGAGACACTTAGTCGACAACTTTAAGAAGCAGGTAAGAAACTTAAATTTTGTTTATATTCTGTGAATAATTATTATTCTAGTTTATTTATTTATTTATTTATTTATTGTAGGTGTTGAAGAAATACCCATATTTTAATAAAAAATATTGGTTCTCGATTTTTATGAAAACTGTGTATGCTCCTAAAAGGCAAGATTTTGATATCCATATAAATTATTGATTTTTTTCCTTTTCTATGCACAACAAATTATTGATTTTTTTCCTTTTTTTATTCTTTTTTTATTTTTTTTTCTACAGAGCATACTCAGCTCTCACTATTCGATCCCGGATTATGTTAGAATTTCCAAGGAATGCAAGCATCTATTGTCCAGAATATTCGTAGCTGCCCTGGAAAAGGTGCAATTNTGTCTTCTAATTTGTTATTTTCAAATTAATTTGTTGTTTTGCATTGCGCAGAGGATAATGTTCGCCTATATTTTTAAAGCTCGACCGCAAGTGTACGGCTTCGCTCGTAGTATGTGGCAAGCAAGGTCGTATCCCAAGAGACCAAATAATTATTATATCAATTACTAGATTATAGTGTCAGTTTTATTTAGACGTCCGAATATGAGATGGATTACTAAACTAAGAAAATAAATCAAGGAAATAAAGCAACAAGAGGAAATTAGCTAGAAAAACACGTAAGAAGATGTATGAGAACGATAGATTCTAAGACTTTGGTTTCAATTAATAGTTGGGTTTCTTCAAAAGTATCACAACTAATGTTTTCTTTATCTACCCTATATGACGATCACAAATTTAGCTTATCGTCCCTCTCAAGATCGATAAAACCGTAGATTAAATCACATATATTAGCGTCTCCACTCAACACATGCAATTCAACTCCAAATAGATTAAAAGTTCTAATATCCTCACAACAACCTACTAATCTCTCGATTCAAGCAAGTAAATTGTGTCAAATATTAAAGACCTAATATTGAACTCATCTCTCGAATTATGAACAATATTGTCAAACATGTAAAAACATTGGCCAAGTGCTAAACATGAATTAAGAGCAAAATATTTGAATAGGGTTCAAAAGAAAAACAATCAATTATAATAAATCATCCCAAATCCCAACATATTAATCTACTACCAAGTCTTAGAATCAAATAAATTAGCTACTCATGTTTGAATTCAAATACATAGACATATTAGAAATCAACATGATCAATAAAAGTTCAAAAGGAAAGAAGAAAGAAAAACTAGGAATCTTGTCGATCTTTCAATCTTCTTGATCCCTTTGTGGTTGATCTTCTTTTGCTTCCCAATTGCTTCTCTTGTGTGTTTTCTCAGCCTTTCTAACGTGTCGCCCTTTTCAAAATAGGGTAAATATGCCTTTTATAATGTCCAAAACCCTTCTCCTATTCAAAATAGACAAGAAATAAAACGCAGTCTGCGCGCGTGACACGACCATTCTGCCCGTGTCACCGTCCGTGTCGCAGCCCGTGTCACGTGTATTGCCTCGGAATGCCCCTGTTATCATGACACGACCTCTGACACGGGCATGATGCCCGTGTCACCGTCCGTGTCACATCCCAGCACACTCGTTTTTGTCCGTTTCACTCGTTTCTTCCATTTTTCTCATCCGTGCATCAATCCATCATCATCTCGGGGGTCCTAGGTACTCACCATGCGCCTCCAATAGCCACAAGCTCTACAAATATGTGAAAATATCTACAAAACAAGCACGTGTAATACCTTTCCAACAAATAGAAAATTAAAGCACAAATATGCGATTTGTACACCAATAATGCAATGACTAAGCTCTAAATACTCAATAAATATGGTGTAAAATCACACATGAACAGATAACCATCCCAGAAGTTAAGAAGTACCCTTGGTTTCTAAAAGACGTAAAGGTCGAATTTGAACAAGTAGACAAGGAAGCTAATATGCAAGTGCAAAATGCAGAGGATTATTGTTCTCAAAGTATTGAAGAAGCTCTTTCTATAATATAAGAGGCCCGAAAACCGGGTGATGGCCCGAAATTAGATGCTAATTTGTTTGATGGGAGCATGGATCTTGATGAAATAGACATCGATGCTGATATAGACGATGTTGAGACGAGCGGGGATTTTGTTTGTTCTCTTTGAGGTTGGCTTTTTGGTCTTAAATCTCAATCCTATTCAATCTATAAAAATTGAAGTTTCATTATCCGTTGGTCCCTATTTTAGATTCACTGTACTAAATATAGTGAATTTAATGTGTAATTCAACTATGTTTATCTTTATGTGAAAGATCCTTTTGATTTTTTGTTATGTTTATGTGATTCTTTTGATAGGTTTATTTTTTGTTTTTCTGGTGTTTGAGGTTTTATTCGAGTCTTTGGAGTTGTTTTGCACCATAAAAATTCAATCATTTTGAACATGTTGATCTTGATGAAATCGAAAAAAAAAAAAGAACCATTAGAGTCTGAGAAAGTTAATAGTCTTTTGCAGATTGGGAATGAAAAGCGCTCGAAGTTTACTCGGTGGAGCAAATAGTGAATGAGAAGAGCTCTGAAGTTAACACTTAGGTGGAGCAGATTGTTAATGGGAAGAGCTCGAGAGTTGAAGCTCAGATGGAGCAGATTGTGAATGAAAGAGCTCGGAAGTTGACACTCAGATTGGTCCGCAGAAGGACACGAACAAGAAAAGCTTGAATGAAATGGTTAGCTATTTCGTACAACCCGTGGATGAATATAAGCATAAGGTTGCATTTTGGTGTTTCGAAATGGTGATCATTGTTTTCTAAGAATTACCCTATGGTCCAGTTTGCTTTCTTTTAGAAAATTGGACATCTGCGATTAATTTGTATGAGGGAAGCAAATGTATGTGCGATCTCGACTGATAATCGGGTCTTTCTGTGTAGGTTGACCTCATGATTTTAGTTTTTCAGTCATAAAATATGTGGCTCATTAGATTTTCTTACAGGTCTCCGAAAGGTTGGATGAGGACCCTTCTCCTGATGTCCCTTACAAGAGATGATTTAGTTTTTTAACTCCTTTAATTTTATAACAAAATTTTTAATCCATGCGAATTTTTTAGTATTTGAATACCATTTTCGTGTCTAATGTGTGTAATTTGGGGTACGAGTCGCCGTTGCAGACTTTCCGGGAGGTGTGCCGTAAATATCTGGCTTGAGAGGGAGGATATTCGAGTACGTCGACTCATTTCTTATGAACTTCATAAATTCATTTGGCTTTAAAAGTTTGTTAAATCAATATCCTGTTGTTGCATGAACGAATTCAAGTTTCAGTTCCATCAAGTATTCACAAGTTTGTCGTGATTGTTGCTCACAAGAATCACCACCAAAATTCTTCTAGGCAAATTCTCCCACCAGATAACACGTTTCCATGGTTTCCTCTCTGCTTTATACATTTTTCCAATATGCAGGCATAATAAAACAAGAAGAGTTGTATTAAGCCTGATCTTTTTGTTGTTCTTGCTTTTGCAGGGACGATAATTGATGATAAAGTCAGTCACTCGGAAACAATGACTTCTACCTATGTGCACATGCAGGGATAATTGTAAGACTTCTACTTTCATCTACTAAATTCATTTATTTTCTAGAGGAGGGTGTCTTAATCACTTATATTTGTAATTTGGTTCACACATTGTTAAATTATGTCTGGTATGCATTGAGTCTTTTTTTNCAAAACTAAAACAACTAGACACGACCCCCAAGGGGTAATACAACAATACAACTCAAACAACACAACAACAACACACGACCCCCACAGGGTAATCTCCGAGTGTCGGACCCCCACAGGGTAATAAATTTGACACCCGGATGCACCAGGCAATCGCCCAAACCTAAAACACAAACACAAATACACCGAGGCCAACGGCCCAAACCAAAACACAAATACAAACACAAGAACAGAAACAGACACAAATCAAAATAAAAAACCTATACTACTAACTAATAAGGCCCTTCCCCAGAGAAAAGCTAAAACCGACCCAAAGCACCAGCGAAAAAGACTAACATCCTACAACTTGACCCAAAATCCGAAACGCCGCTCCCGCCACTGCCTAATGCCTAGCAAGGAACAAGTGCCGAACCTCAAACCAAGCCAAGAATGAAGCCGACCCAAAGCCAGAGGAATATCAACCCGTCCACTTGCCAGCAACCCAAGACCCGACCAACACCACTGGCCTAGGTTCGGGTGTACCGGCATCCCAAAACCGCAACACCAGCAAAAGGGGAACAGAGGGCAAGAATCGAAACCCCTCAGCCCCCGGCCACCGCAACTCAGACGAGCCGAGCCGCCAGGGCCGCACCCAAAACCCGAACCACGCACCTCCTGCAGCAATCAGACCCAAACCGGAGGAGAAGCCGTCGAACCCGCCATCGACCACCATCCCAAGACAGAGCCGACAGTAGAAAGCTGGAAAATCACCGTCGGGGCCGAGAAACGTACCCAAATCGAAAGTGGAGCCGTAGAACCCGTCGTCTGAAGCCGAACATAGACGGAATCGACAGAGAGATTTCGAGAACCTACCTGCGACGGCGGCGATCTCCAGTAGAACAGCCCCGGACGACGAAACTGAAACCATCTCCGAAGGGCTAGAACCGTGAAGGAAGCGCACAAATCAGGCCATGGGAGTGCTGCTACGGGTCATCCACCGGCCGAAGGCCGGCTGTTCGCCGGGGAAGGCAAGGAATTGACAGCGGCGAGAGAAGGATTTGGGGGAGAAGGGTTAGAGAGAGAGAAATATTTGGGGGAGAGAAATATTATGTTATAAAATCTGTGTTTTTTTTTTTTTATTGCTTTTTTTCTTTTCAAAAGCCACATACAAAGGCTTGGTATGGATATTTTTCTTATAGGGGACAACCAGACCAATGCATTATCGTGTGTGCTGCTAGATGAGGTTGGTTTTCTACTTATGAGTTTCAAAATAAAGCGCCTCTGTTGATACTGAAAAAAGGGCCAAATTTTTTAAATGGTACGTCCAGTTGTTGGAGAAGAATGTGAGAAAGCTCGATTTAAGTCCGGATGGGATTTACAGTATTGTTCGGATAAATGATCTTAAAAACTCACGTGGGCTCATCTTGTTTAAGGAGCTTCGCCAGGGTACCAGGCTCTTTAATTTGTTGGCAAATAGGTATTATGAGCATGAAGGTTAATATAATTTTATAGCATTTGAACTAATCAATTTGATTTTTAAATGATTGTTTTCCGGATGACTTTTTGGGCTTAAAAATTCAATCGTTATTAGTTTTGCTTGTTCCATTTTAGTATTAGTATACTTTTGCCTCGAAGAAGGATATCTCATCAATGGTTTTGTGAAGGTGTTTATCAATGTTCCCAGCTGGTTTCTAGCTTACAATAAAGAACCAAGAGCAAGTTTGTGTTTGTTGGTTCGACAAGGGCTATCGAGACTTCTGTACGTTTAATTATAGACTAAATTGAGCCCGGTTGTGTGGGTTACTAAATACTAGGGCCGTCTCCAGAAATTTAGAGGCCCCAGACAATTATTTTAACAGAGGCCCGTAATTATATTTTTATATTTTTAAATTTTTTTAATTGAACAAATAATAATAAACATTGTCAATAATAAATACGAAAAAAACCATGAATATGAGAAAATTTAGTAAACTAGAATACAAAAACTTATAACCTTCTCGTCTTCTTGTACAAAATTATCAATCAAGTAACCATAATCAAGTTTCACAACTATTTTTTTTCAATGGATAACATCGCCAAACCGTTCAATCTATCCTAAGACATAGTTGACCGAAGGTAATTTTTTATCAACTCCAGCTTGGAAAAACTTCATTCAGCAAGTTATGGTCAACAATATCCTGTAAGCTACCTAGACATTAGGAAAACCATGATACAAATTTTTGATATACTCCAAGACCTCAACTGGTTTAGTTAATCCATCCGGTAATGTTTTTTTCAGTAATTGTAACTCCGAGAATTGTTCGACTGCATCAATATCAAACTTATCTTCATGTTTCAAAAAGTTCTCAAGTTCAACACATGAATGCTTCAAACTTTCATGTCCATGTTTTTCAACTTGGCCTAGAAATCTAAAAATCTCTTTGTACTTTTTAAACTTTCGACCAATTTCAACTATGAGTGTATCAATTAATTCCGGCACAATTTCAATAGGACCAAACACTTCAACTTCTACTACACGACACGAAATGTAGGTTTTACGTACCTATCCATTGATCCGGCCAGAGATTTTGTTAATATCTCTTGTTTTTCTTTCTTTTTCCTTTTCGAACTTCTTGATTCAAATTTTCGTTTGCCCGTCATAACCTGTCTAACAAATTTGATCATGATAGAATAATACGTGAACAAATTTGTATACAATACTAATTAATAAAAAAACACATAATGAAGCTAAAAAGCTAAATTTATTTACAATTTCTTCTTCAAATTATAATAACATGTTATCATGCTAAAAAGTAAAAAGCTATTATGCTAAAGCCTCTGAATTCATAAAATCGTACAAAAACAACTCAACCAACTACATAACCCTTTCCGCCAATTTAATCATGAAGCTAAAATAGTAAAATATAACAAAAAATAAAACATGTACCTAACCTAACACAGAGTGACAGAGACAAAAAATATTTAGAAAATAGAAGAAGTTCCTACCGAGTTGATTGAGAACCCTAGCGGCAGCGGCGATGCGTGAGGCGGTTGTAATGAGGGCGGAGGGACCAACTAAACTCCACAGCGGAAAAGGCGAAATTGGGATTTGAACAGTTGTAATAAGGCTGAGGATTTGGCAGTCGAGCAACAAATCAAAACTCCACGGCAGAATTACAAAATTGGGATTTGGTTTTATAAAGTTCAATTGCCAAAAGTGAATTGGGCCAAGCCTTTGAACTTTATGTAACTGAATTGGCCGCCCAACACAATGTTATAATATATAAATATATTTATTTGAGGCCCCCAAAAAAAGAGGCCCTAGGCTGGAGCCTGGCCTGCCTGGCCCAAGAGCCGGCCCTGCCCTAAACGATCAACATTTCTTCAAAGTACAAAAGTATAACAGAAGTTTTTTTTTTTTATTCCACATTAGTGGTAAGAGAGCCAGTAATACGAAATTATCAATTTTCATATTCCACAAACATAATTAATTTGACTTTCGTATGAACATTAATTGAATAAATATCTGTGTAAATAAAAAAGGCAAGAACGAGATTTGTAGGGATCTAATTCTCAACCGAGATCTTCCTTCATCAATGTCTCAATTCCAAAAAAAAAAGCAACCTTCTTTTTATTTTTCACAGACTCTTCGTCTTCACCACTATTTGAATAAAACAGACCCTAATATCCTCTCAAAGAAACCTTCGTCTTTTTAATTATCTATTTTTTTATTAAATATGCTTCCAGGGATTGTGGTGTATTTGTTGTTGCCTTTGCCGAGTACTTCGTTTCTGAGGAGATCATCAACGTTGAGACGTTTGACGTACATATCGAGAGACTTAGGTTCTGTTACTACCTTTTTTCGTGGAAGGATGAAGTAGGAAAACAATTCTGAGAGTGATGATGAATCACCGGGTCGGTTGTCGGCAACACTGATATTGGAAAAAGAATCGGATATTTCTGGACTTATATTAGTTAATAATTTGGTTGTTTTGTGGGTGAATTGAACCAAAATATGGTTTTTTTTTTTGTTTTTTTTTTCTTGTGGGAAGTACTTTTGGAAATTTTCATGTGTTATTTAATGACTATTGCTTATTTTCTGTTCCTTATTATTTGGTTAGCTATTCATATGTAATCCTTCTGTTATATTGTTGGTATAATATTTGTTTATCTGTTCGTTATGTTTTTGGTACCTTTTTCAGGTTTACATGTATGATATATCAACCAATATGTTCACCTAACGTTTACTCGGAACTGAGTACAAATATATGAGACCTTTTCTTACTCGGAACCAACATGTTTGTCTATCCCTGCTTGTGAACAAACATCTAAATTATACCACTGCTGTTTGATATATGGTATGTATTAATCAAATAGAACATGTTGTAAGTAGAAACAAGACAATGTTTTGATTTGTCCACAAATCTACCGAATCGATCAAAAACAAACTTCTTGAAAATATGGTTTATTTGATGGAAAAAATAAACATTAAAGATACCTCAGTTATTTCATAATATGTAACAATAAAATAAAATAACATGAAATAAACCTATGCATACAATACCAATACATAACATGAAACATCACTGTGTAGCAGTCAATGAAAAACGATGTCATCATACTAAACATTACAACTTAATTTCTGTTGTGTTCTTCATATGTATGGAATCTTAAGATAATTTTTCTTTTTTCATTCTTAAGAAACTAAAATGAAACATGTGGAAAATCAAGAGGTAATATTTTCATTTCATCAAATATACTTATAAATATCCATCCCCAACAAACATTAAATCACTCAACTGAAATAAAAAACTGAACCAATAAATCAAAACATTCTGCCAAAGGGGGAATTATACCATGAAATAATAATAATTAAAAAAAAAAAATCCACTGAAACATTAAATCAACACCAAGCTAGATTTATCACTAAAGATCTCCAACAATTTTGGGAGGATTTGGGCATGTTTTGACATTATGTCCCTCCCTTGGCATTTTCCACACTTGTTTGGTTTCGGAGCCTCCAACGTACTCGTAAAATGTTGTTTTCGACGACGCCCTGGTTTCACTCTCCCAACGGGTGGTTTCACATTTCTTTCTTTCTTAGTGCTAACTGGACTAAAAGTATGTGACCCTTCAATTGGGTAAAACGGTTTCGCATACGTCTCTAGAAAGTTATCCGTTTTGTAGAAGGATGAACAAAATGGCAATTGATCGATATGCAGGGATCGAATAACTAGTATGGCGTGCGACTAAGGCTCTGATCGTCATCGACCCGAATAGTAGGGTAACCTTCTCGCACCTGATACCTCAAATCCAAATTTGTTTCCAAATGGTTTATCTTCAATTTGTCAAAAATTTGCTTTCTGAAATCCTGGAAGGGACAATTGTGGTTTACACTTATTCCCGCAGCTTTAAAGTTGTTGTAATTGTTGTTATTATCCCAATATCCATTTTAGTGAATGAAGACTACAAATGATGACATTTTGCTGCACATAACAACAGACAATATGAAAAGCATCATAAGATACGGAAAAAAAAAAAAGTAAAAATTCAAAATTCTGCAAGTGGAATACTAGAATGAAGATAAACAACAAAAAAATGAACTTGAAGATATATATAAAAAAAAAACAAACAAATAAAAATGTCTTGTGAAAGTTTCATTGAAGATGTTTCGACAGTAAGTATGATTGTAAAACCTTGACATTTGCAGCAGATTGGTTTATCAGCTCCGACGGCGATTTGAAAATTTCGGTCGTTCGAATCCGTTCGCAAGCTTCGTCTTCGTGATAATTGAGTGCCTTGCATTTTTTCCAAACAGGTCTTTCACTTTCCCTTTTCCTATCTATGGTATCTTCTTGAGATCGTTTCATTTTCGGCAACATACCTTCATTACAGTAAATCATTGGCGTCAATCAGTTAAATAATTGAAGACTTTATTTCACCGATTTCTATTCCATGTTTATAGAGTTCTCGTTCTCCGGAGATATTGGGTTTGTGATATCAACTTTTGTGATTAAAAAGATTGCTTCATATTATTGGAAATTAGGGGTATTTATCTCGTAATTACGTCTTTCTGCCAATTTAAATTGGGCAACAAATTCTTCCTTGGCCCAATTAGTTTGAACTTAAGTTTGTTGTTAATTGATTTGGCCTTAAATAATGATCAAATATCGCAGTCCACATTAATTCATTGTGGCCCTTATTCTATGGTATTGGTCGCCTGCGAAAATAATTATATATGCTGAAAATAAACCATAAAAATATAAAAGCAAATAAATCCATCTAAATAAGTCAAATAATATAAACGTGCGAATAAACTAAGTGCATAAAAAATACACTATTAAACATATAAAGCGCACATTTTTTGACCTATCAAATCTCTCCAAACTTAAACCGTTGCTTGTCCCCAAGCAACCTAAAACTATAAGCACATAGATGAACATAAATAAGTACATGGAATATTTGCTAAAGTCTCACACTTCTCACATAAATACATAGGTCAATCAACTTAAATTAATTAATCCGGACTCAATGAACTTCGTCTGTCTGTCACATACTTTATCGCATAAGTAATTAACACTTACTCAATCATTCGTTTGTCTGTCGCATAATTTATCGCATAAATATTATGCACTTTATCAATTGTCTTTGTTTATCTGTCGCATAGTTTATCTCATAATATGTTTATAACATTATCAATTTTCCTCGCATGTCTGTCGCATAGTTTATTGCATAATTGTTTCGCACTTTATCAATTTTCTCCGCCTGCCTGTCGCATATCGTATCGCATAATTATTTCACATTTTATCAATTATCTTGACCTCCCTGTCGTGAAGTTTATCGCATAAGTATTTCGCATTTTATCAATCATTTTCTCCTCTCTTTTGCATAGTTTCGCATAAATATATTGCACTTTATCAATTATCTTCGCATAGTTTATAACATAAATATTTCGCATTTTATCAATTATTTTCGTATGTCTGTCGCATATTGCATCGCTTATTTTCCCACTACTGTTTGTCGCGTAGTTTATCGCATGATTTATTTTGCACTTATACTTTATCGATTATCTTTGCATGTATGTCGCAATAATTTATTTCGCAGCTTGTGGTGTGAAAAAAATAATTTATTATTTGATTGTGTGATAAACTTAGTCTGTCTTTAGAGCGGATTGAAAATAGTCATTTCATCTGATTCTATTGTATGGAAGGAGTGTGTTGTTGTTCTTTGAGTTTGTTTGTTTTCAGTTGTGTTAGCCAACTGCGTATGGCTTCTAGCCTCCGGTTTCGAGTTGTTTTATGTCTTTTATGGAGTTTAGCTTTGCGGGTGCTTGTACCCATTGGTCACCAGTGTAAATTCAATTGAAGTTGGTCCAGACTTTGTTCTGATTCTAATGGTATCTTTTGAGTTTTGACACCCCAGTTGTGCATTATTGAGTCGTTCATCATTTATAAATATGCTTATATATCCTTTGGGAAAAAAATATATATATACATGTATATATATATCATGGTAAATTCGGCCCGATTTTGGACTTTCATTGATGGACTTTTTTGGGCTAAATTTTGTGATCCACCCAATTTGTATCCTATCCTGGCTCGGTTCAGTCCAATTCTTAAATCAGTCCAGTCCATCATTCTTAAATCAATTTAGTCCATCTTGTGAAAATTAGGGTCTCTCATATATCTATCTAAATACACTGTACTTCCTGAATGATTAGATTAGATCTGCAGAACTGTCGGCTTTCTTTCTACGTTAATAACGTTACCTTTCTTGTTCATTTTAACGAACAAAAATCAATAAAAATATCAGAAAAAAAATCAGTTGTTATATTTCAAGAGTTTTGTGTTTGACACTCTGTGCTTACCCTTTCTTGGTAATTTTTCAGAAGAAAAGAAAAAAAAAAATAGTTTTTATAGCTAAATGTTTTATTGTCTTACAGGCGAATTGGTATTACGTATTTTCAGTTCAACTTCATTCACATTCTGTGCTTACACTTAATTAATTTTTTATTCGATTTTTCATGGCGAATTTATTCACATCTATCGATAATATAAACATTCAATAAATTTTAATGTTTACTGCAGGATGTGGACGGTATTTGCGTACTCCGCCGCTTATCTAGCCGGATCTAGGATGGTATTTGCTGCATCCGCCGCTTATCGAGCCGGACCTGGGCCGAGGTACTGGTCGTAGCTTGGATCTGGATCGGATCTAGGATTGGAGGTCCGCTTGGATCTAGGATCGGATCTGCAAAAACCTGCAACATTCAAAGGGCGGAGCTGGGGTGGCCGATATTGATTTGTAAGTTTCTTTTAGATTCATTTTTGTTTGATATTGTTTAGCCCCCTTTTACTTGTCATAATATTTTAATATTAGAAATGATTAATGTGTCTAATTAAATATACTAAATAATATAGTTGCTGATGAACAGGGGCCCATCGAGGATTTAAAACTACTCGAGCTAAAATATAACAAAATATATAGGAATCACATATCAAGTTTATGATAATCCTATCACCGTTCGCAATTCTAATCAAATAATTACATTTAATACTTAGGTTAATAAGTTGAGTAGCTAACATGCAATTGAAACTACAAAACAATTAAGAATTAAAAGGTAAGAAATCAGAAAGATACTCTCCATGTCATTCCACTTGGAAGTTAAAATATTTTTTTCAACTATCATTTCTTCTAAAAAGTCACTGATATTGAACTTCAAAATGTAATTAAAGCTTAATTATAGTAGCAAGAAAGTATAAATTAGGAAATATAAAAGAATGCATATTGTGTTCAACAAATTGACATTAAAATAACTTCTTCAACAATCAATTTTCAAATTCAAAATGAACTACTTGATCTTTTGATCTTCTCCAACAATCATAATTGTCATTA